AGCAGTAGCTGTACTTGCACAGCTTCAAATTTCAATAGGAAGTTGGTCATCCAGCACCTTAGAAAGACTGTGTCCGCTGTATATATACTTGTGATATTCAAAACATATCATACAGTTAAGTTCCTTTTATACTGTATTAACATCTGAAGTCAATATATTGATAAAAAGTAAAAGTTAGCAAAAAGGAAGAGGAATCTCTCTGAAATATTTTAAAACTCCATTGGAAACAAGTGAGTTCTATAGCTAAGGAAGTGAATACATTGACATGCTACTGGGAGAGATAGTGAAAGAAATATATAAATTGAATATAATTAGTCTGGGTCTGAAACAGAGATGCCAAAACTTGTACAGACAAAGATGGAGTTTGATGTTTGAGGGCAAGAAAGACATGAATATATAATAACTGAAGCTATTTAGAAAAGCTACAGAATATGTCAGGTTATTACACTAATTATTGGTTCCTATAATGAGATTTTATTTTGGGGAATATTATGCATTACAATATGGCATTCAGTATAATAGGATAAACAGCTGCAAAAGTCATTCTGTGATCAGATTTGCAGCTCAGTACTTGGATGACTGTATGAAATGAAGTGACCTGCTGGTCAGACTAAACGATTTCCTAACACTCTTTTGTGCTTAAAACCTTAGAAAAAAAATAGTCTGAATTCAACCACTCTCTTAAATTTATGATTTCTGTTCTGAAACTTCTTGCATGATATAAAGACATGGCATAAATAATCTGGCAGAACCAAGAAAAAAAAAAGAAATCTTTCAACTTTTAGAGCCATTTTCTATCTGTAGTTTTACTTACATATGTAAAATTTACGTAACACATATAACCATTTCCAAAAAGTATTAATACCAAATAAACAAGTTCACATAAGTCATACATATCTTCATTTAATACTGACATGCATTACAAGGCTAAGTTATTATTACCTTTTGTTTGGTTTTAGGTCAGTTTCCGCTAGAATTTCTTGACAAACAGGTAGTTTACTAACGATAATAGTGGTAAATATTTAAAAGTATTAGAAGTTACTTTAGAAAAAAATATCTAAATCTTGCAAAGCTTGGAGAGGTTTAACCTCTTTCATCCTTGTTTTCATCAAAAAAGCCATCAGTAACCATCACAAAGCCAGAGACACTTGTTTCCTCTGAAATAAGCATATTTGATTTAAAGAACATATTAATCAATCATTTATTTTAATGGCCTGAGAAACATTCCAACAGTGTAAGAGCCTAAGCTTTTTTTGGAAGGGGAAGGGAAGACAAACATCTGAAAAAAAATATTGGTTTGAAAGCAATTCAAAAGAAAGATGAAATGTTACACGAGTTGCTCTTCACACAAGTTTTCTGAAAGGTAAAGGAGCTGCTCTCTGGAACAGGCTACTACTAAGATGGTGAAAGAAACTAAATATAAGCCACAAAAAAAAACACCAAAAAAACAATGAAAATATATGATACTATTTCTGCACTGGGTCAGTTCTTGTCAGTTCTTCAAGAGTTCTCTTGCTCTTAGGAAATTATTTTATCTCATGTTCTTCAAGCATGTTCACACACACAAAAAAAATCTGCCATAACAAGCCTCTACTAGGTCATTGTCACTACACTCTTCCTCAGCTTCCAAAAGAACTGTTTCTGTACACCAGGAAGTGAAGTACTGTCAACCACAGCCTTCGACGAAAAGCATTAGCCTTACTACATATTTACTCAAAAGGTTCTCCAGCAGCTATTTCTACATTCAAAACAGCATTAGGGGCACCTTTCTTCCCACAACCTTTTATCACCAAGCGGGGTTAAAAGTCTCTTGAACGGATGAAAATTCCCAGCCAGAAACATACCATGCTTTTTGCAGAAGAAAAATTCTTCTAGTTGTATCTATCATATATATTATCAGAAATTATAAAATCACATCTCATTCTGTTGAAGAATTGTTCTCATATTTACAGATATAAAAGCAGATGGCAATGCAGAAAAAGAAATGGCCTAATAATGTTTTCTATAGCCTGTGAAACATTTTGCCAAATGTGTTTGCCACTATATCATAATAAAGAGTAAGTCTTTCTTCATACAGATATTTGACCACAATTTATCCACCATGGAAAACTGAAATTGTCTAGTGATTTTAAGAGTGCTGGATGCTTTCTCCTTAAAAGACAGCATTCTGACAGAAAAAAAAAATCCACAAACAAACAAAAAGCTTTCATAGATGTTCTTAACCCACAAAAGTTCTTATTTATGGGGACAGCTTGAAAACACCTTATCTGAAGTTCACTGCCTAGCATCTTGTGATTTCTTAAAAATATGGTGTATTATTCTGACCTCACCTTCAGCAGTGCCTGTTGACTTTTTAAAAGTTAGAAACATGGGACAAAACCTGGGTTCATACTGTTTATCCATCACTTCTTTTCAATTGTTTCTTAAAATTCTGAAACTTGAATTAGTTCAGGGTTAAAACACAAAAAAGATGTCTTATATGTCAAAGTAAGGAGCATAGCAAAACTTCAGATTTTCCAAATAAAGTATTTGTTTCACATAGGAAATCTCAGTAAAGCAAATATAGCACCTATGACATCTTCTCTGCGCCTTCTTTTACATATCCTGCCTTCTTCAAAGAAACACCCATTACAGTCATCAATATCAAAAATTCCACAGCTTACTCCACTGCAATCACTCAAAAACACAGATATATCGTGAGAAATAACATATGAAGCTGCCACAAGTGTTTCAAGATAATTTTAAGAAATAATGTAACTTTTTAAAGTTAAGAATCAGCGTAGACAAAGAAGAAAATATTCTGTATTTGATTCATACAACCATAAAAATTATGAACTCAATATTCTTTTTCTTTACTAGCAACAATTTTGAAAAATTGCCTGTGTTTGTATTTCTAAAACTCAAGGTCTATTTTTGGCTACAGTCAAAACCAAAGCAAAATCATATACCAGGCAGTCAAGTCATTCATTCATTCTTCTAAAAAGCAAGGGATAGACATCTGAGCAGAGAGTTAGAAACTTCATAAACTCTCCTAATGTTGAATTAACATGATGCATTTCATCTGCCTGCAGCATGGGAACAGTGGCCTAGGATTCCTCCAATGAAACACTAACTAACGGAAGCCAATCAAAACAAACAATTATGGAAAACAAACAAAGAGTTTGCTCTTTCCAAACCTTTACTACAACATAGAAAGATAGTACTGGAGTAATATGGCTTCCCAGTAATGTGGCTGAACATAGAATCATGTCAAACTGCTGAAGTAACCATATACTCTGAGGAATGCATTAACATCCCTGAAAAAAAATAAGGCTCATTTTTGAGCTTAGTATATAAGATCTTCCAGCTTCAAGATGGATCTGACTACAGATCACCTATCAAGAAGGAAGTTCACTTGAAAGAACACCTGTCAAACTGGTATACCCTGTACCACAATGTTTCAATAGATTATCTTGTTAGTCAGTAGTACCTTAGGTTAGCTGTCCAGGATGTTCTTAATAAGGGAGTGCAGAATTCCTTTTTTTGCTGTGGTTCACAGGAATCAGAAATAACTTTGATAATTTTTTTCCAATTAAAATCCTTTTTGGACAGTAGATTCGGTGACAATTCTCTCTAGCACCCACTGATTGTTTTGTTTGTTTGTTGGTTGTTCAGTAGCAAAATACATGACTAGGCATAATCTAGCAGCATCATCACCAGAAAAATACTTCTCACTGTTCCATTCCGCGTTTCACATTCCAACAGACAGGCACAGTCTATCTTCTACCCATGTAACTTCCATGTACATTCTTTCAGCATCAGAAAATCAATACCCAAGGCAGATACTTTTCTTGGTAATAACATAGTACCATATGCTGAAACAATGGCCTTAAAATGGTTTTAAAACACAATCACATGCACAGGTAACACTACTGCCCTGGAAGAAAACATGCATTAAAACATTTAAACCATGGTAAACCCAATACAACAGCATGCCATAAATCCTAAGACAAAACTCCACTTTACAACCATTCTTCCTTGCCCTTGCCTTTAAAACAAAAACCGGAAAATATAAATAACCTCTAACACCTGAAAGAGATACTTGATATATATCAAAAAGAAAAAAATAAGAGCAAGATCACTTTTTATTTTATTTTTTTAAAAACGGTCAATGACTGGAATGGTGTTAGATATCATAAACTGAATTCACATATTAATTTCACGCAAGTAACAGTGTATGTCTTAGGCAGGTAAGTTCACTACTTCATAACGCGAGGAACAACTTAGACACTTATAGAAAGAGAAAATTGACTAAAAGCAACCATCATGTGTCTCTTGAGGCTATCTGCTTCTGATGAGGCAAACGAGGTAGTAGTCGGGATCACGTGTTTTCATGAACTAGAATACCAACCATCTCCTCATATACAGAGACATTAAGCAAAATCTGAGGCAATCAGCCCACTAAAATTGACATAATGTCCAAATCCATCTTTCTAGAATCATGCAGAGCATCACACAAGAAGTCTTTCCTTCAAAGATTTCTACTAGTTTTGGTTTTAACTTTCCAAGGCCAAAAGACTGTCTATACCCAATTTTGCCCTACAATAATGTCATGTCAAGTTGTGCATACAATAAAAATATTAACAAGCATATGTTAAATTTAATAATCTTCATATTCTGTAAGTTTTTACCTAAAAAGTCTGTAATAACACTTATTTAAAGCTACTTGTTTGTTGGTAGTTCTTGTATGCCATGCCTCCACGTGCAGACTGCCAACAAGAAAAGCAGACGTTTTTCAAAAGCACCATTCACAAAGAGTCAATGTGCAGAATAAAATAAACAGTTCAATTATATTGCATCTATCATAGGACAGCACATGGAAGCATACTGACATGAAGAAATATTTCAAATTTGCAATTTGCATTTGCTAATTAAATTATTCATATACCACCTATGGAACCTTGGTAAAACCATTAAATCATATTATTCTCTTACAGTACGCAGATGCAGTACTTGCATACCTGTTCTTTAACTGAAGCTAGAATGGCAGAGGTCGTCTCAGTTTCCGAGCCATCGCCGTTGGATGTGTTCAACACAGGACTAAGGGAACTTGTCTTATCAGAAGACGAGGGCTGGTCTGGCACAGGCATAGCTTCTGCAATTTATGGAAAAACAAAACAATGATTTTGTTATAAGAAAGCCAATATATATATATACCAGAAATCACATGCACCTAAGAATAATAATACTAATTTAAAGAAAAATGTAGAACATATTCCATCTGTTGTATAATACAGGCATAATTAATTTATAACTTATTTTAAACTATAAATGCACTTAAGTTTTTTTTTCTCTTGAGCAAATCTCAGGCTAGATTATAGTTTACATAATGAAGCATGAGATTATATATCAGAAGACTCAGAAGACATTATTTTTAATTAAAACAGCTACATGTTTCTGTATTACTCTCTTTTTGTAAGCAAATCAACTGAAGTGGTAAACACTGATTTTTAGCTTTGGTAACGTCATTGCTCCAGATACATAAGCAGGGTTTTTGGGGAGGGAGAGGGTGTACGAACGTGTGCACATGCACGTGTGTATGCTCAAGTGAGAATGAGCCCTGTAGGAGGAGCTCACCCATCACCTCACCTAAGAGACCGAGTTTAACAGGTAGTACTGGGACGGGACACCAGGGTGGGGTAAGAGAGGTTTCTTCTCCACATTTTCCTTTAACCTTCTTTGTCTTCTCTGTTTCTCAATACCAGAATCAATACTTTGAAGTTTATGTTAATTGGCATTATACCTAATTAAGAAAAATTCCTGGACTCAGGACTGGTTTTGGCCTGTGACGCTCTCCAAGGGCAATGTCAAAATGAGGCTGACCAAGGACTGGTGGTTTTCTACTGCTGTTAGGTTTTCAGGAAGGTGGGGGAAAATGAGCCTGCATGAGTTGCTGGAAGACATTTACCTGCAACACAAGATACTTGCCTAGCACAAGCACTCCAAAATATTTAAAGTTATTTGTGAGAGACAGCAAAGATCAATGGGGAACCTTCTCTGTGACCTTAAAAAACACTACTGATAAGACAACAGCCTTTTCTCTGTGCTCAGAATGATTACATCAGTGTGATACACTGTGTGTTTCTATCCTGAACTTTTTTTTTTTTTTTGGAACTATATGCAACCTTTTTATTCTTATTTTAATTTTCAGGCAGTTTTTTTTTTTTTTTTTGTAAATACTTTGTTTCCACCAAAGAACATTGTGTATTGCTAAAGCAGTTTTTGAAATTTTGCAAAAATCAATTTAAGTGGGAAAAAATCTGGTCACACAACCAACTGTTACAATAAACTGTAAGTACAGCTTATTGCAACGATCAAATAGGCTCAACATCTGGACTGAACAGTAGCTAATATACAGCCACTCCATGTTTCCAGGATTTCTGTTTTTGTTTCATTTTGTTTGTTTTTATTTGGAGCTTGAAAAATGATTTTAAAAAAGTCACATCCTGTTTAGCTAGAAACAGAGAAATCACAAGCAATGTGCCTGATGTTAAAAGTAATGTGTTGTTTTAATGGGTGCACACTTCTTTTGGACAAAAAATAATTTTTAATTTCTATGTCATTAGTTCAGTTTATTGCTACAGGTATTTGAGATGGAAAGATTGCAACAAATTGCATTTAATTAGATAATGACATTGAACCTTCAGCATGACTTTATGCAGCTGAGGTTTTAAATATTATGTACTTCAGCATTTTTGTATTACACAAATTTATATGAGAAACACTGTGTAGAAAGAAAACAGAGAATGTGTTTTCAAAAATAACTGAGAAGCTACTTACTAAAGGTAGCTTTGTTCAAAAAAATCATACATGGATCAGCAGCAATAGCATTGCTCAACACTTAATGGATCAAAGGCATGCATTTGCACTAGTCCACCTGATCAGTTTAGGTACACATTTTAATTCAGCTTGGTCTTCAGTATAAGAAATTGGATATTCTTGGGTCTCAGTGGGACTTAAAATTGATAGTACTGAAGAATTACAGCAGACACAGCTGAAAAGGACCTCCAAATTCCCCAGCCAAACCTCCTCAACACTGTAGATTTTTTTTTTCTGCCCAAGTAATCTGGAATATTTAAAACACATAACCAGTCCTTCACAACATCCCTTGCCGAAATCTGTCATGGCCTCCTCAGCCTGTCTCAGGTTTCCACCCACCTTTCAGGCAGAAAGCTTGCTTTACTGTTTAATATGAGCTTTTCCTAGTACAACTTAAGTTCTATATTTCCTGTCATATGTATAATGGACACAAATTGAATTGTTTCATCAGTCCTCTTCAAAAATCACTAGCATATAGGATGACTACCATACCTTTCCTTCTGCTCTGGGCCCTTTTCTTAGACAACCCACCCCAATTTTCATCTTTCCTCATAAATTAAGTTTGATGATAAGCCTTTAACCAACATACAAGGACACTTAGCATTAAAAACAAATGGAAAAATAGAGCAAGTAGAAGAAAAATAAAAATTAAGAAGCCTAACAAAATACACCATAGCTGAATAACCGCAATGTAAAATAAATCTGTTGTATTTAATTTCCACAACAGCAGCACTATTTCATACCAGTGTCACAGAAAAACAAATGAGATTCTGTAAGTCAGAGCATATACATGCTCCTGAGAGAATCAAATTTAAATCTTGGATGATCATAGATAGATGAACAGGAAAAATACTACTAGCCTGTTGGGAACATACTGGAAGTCAGACATAAATAATTCATGTATTCCTGTACCTAATATCACTGCTGAAATTCTTCTTGGAGTTTGAACACACACACGCACACAAACACACAGAGAACTGTCTTTCTAAGATTATCTGAAAACTTCACCTTTTTTTTTTTTTTTTTTCTTTTCCTCCATAAAAACTAAGCTATACATCCAAACAAAAACATTTTATCCCCACTATTGGGCTTCAGGTACCCAGGCAGCAGCAGGGGGCTGCAGGGCCGCTGCATGAGGGGAGGTCTGGGCTGCCCCATGCTGGACCCAGCCTGTTCCAGCTAGCTCCAACGGCCCCACCTGATCAAGGCCAGGGGAAGCGTATTCTGATTTTTGTCTTTCTCACCATCCTACTCTTCTTATTTGACAATACATTAAATTCATTTTCCCCAAGCCAAATCTGTTTTCCTTATGACGGTAATTGGTAAGAGCTCTCCACCATGGAGGTGACATCACTGGCTTTTCCATCTAATTTCCTGTTGAGGAAGGGGATTGAGACAGTGACTGGGTGGTGGCCTAGCTGCCACCCAAAATCAACCTACCACACCCCACGTACTCTTTTTGACTTGAGCAAGAAAATTAGACAGTAAAACTGATCAAATTCCACAAGAAACACTGAGTCCTGCACCAAGGGAGGAACAATGCCAGGTACTTGGTGAGGGTCACCTAGATAGAAAGAAGTTGTGCAGAAGAAGACCTAGGAGTCATGGTGGACACCAAGTTGAACATGAGTCTGCAATGTGTCCTTGCTGCTACACTAGCTAACAGTATTCCAGTCAAAGTATCCCCAGCAGGTCAAGAGGCATGATCCTTCCTCTCAGCAATGGTGAGGCTGCACCTAGAGAGTGTCCAGTTCTGGGCTTCTAGTACGAGACCTAGACATACTGGAAAGAGTCCAATGAATGCTACCAAGATAGTCAAGAGACTGGAACACCTCTTCTTTGAGGAGAGACTGGGAGAACTGGGACTATTTAGCCTGGAGAAGAGGAGAGCTTAACATAAACACCTGAAGGGAGGGTGCAGAAAAGGATGGGGCCAGACTCTTCAGTGGTGCCCAGTAATAGGATAAGAGGCCATGGGCACAAACTGGAACACAAGAGGTGCCATCTGAACACCAAGAAGCACATCATTACTGTGTGGGTGATGGAGCACTGGAAAAGGTTGTCCAGAGAGTCTATGGAGTCTCAGAGATCTTCAAAAGCCAGATGGACATGGTGTTGGGCAACCTGCTCTGGGTGTCCCTGCCTGAGCAGTGGGGTTGGGCCAGATGACCCTCAGAGGTCTCTTCCAGCCTTAAACATCCTGAGATTCTGTGATTATTTCTTATTATTTATTGATCTTGTGACAGCATGGTTTCCTGGACTCATGGAAACAATCTACAAGAACATAGCCTGCAATCAACAGCTACAATTGTGACCATCTCATGACCTAACGACAGCTGTATAAAATGTCAGCAGGTTAATATCCCCATTAAATCACTATTAAGTACAGTGATGGAGAGCATAAAAAATTAAAAACTGACCGAGCAAAATAAGAAATAGAAGTAAACAACAACTATGGTAAAACAGATAATCATCAAAAAATAGCACCAAGGTATGTCATTGAATTCCACTATATTGTCTGGAATACAGATAGAAAAATACTGCTCAGTGTGTAACTGAATCAGACAAACTACCTATCTTACATAGATATATTGGTTGCTTTAACTCCCCCATCACAGTAACTTCAGCAACACTTCACTCTTCAGTATCTACCCACTACATTTCCATAACCTGTAACTAACTGCCAAGCAATCCATCTCCTTCAGGATAGCAACTGATTTCAACTTTTTTTTTCTAAATTATTTTTTCAAAATTGAATAAAATCAGTCAGCAGAGTTAAAAGTCTTTCTAAAATCTACCTTCTACATACACTTGAAAAGAGAGGTTTCAGTAACTTTTAAATACCTACTCAAACTAAGCACTGAATATAAATTTCAAAATTATTTTTTAATTATTTCTCTTGTATTTCTTTTAAATATCTGTAACAGCTTTTTCCAGTGAGTTTTTAAGATTCTTCTGGGACACAGTTCTTGGGCTGGTAGTAGCCCTTTCTCAGTCACATGAAATTCTATTAAAAAATAAATGAGGAGATGTTTCATGCATCTAAGTCCTTTCTTATGTTTGCGTCATGGAAATTTTTAGCAATGTGGAAAAAAATTGAAACTTTTTTTTTTTTTTTTTTTTTTAATGACTGGGCTCCACAAATGCTCAGTAGCAATAGTAACATAACGTTTTGAACTGGAAGATGAAAGATTGCAAGACCAGATTCCTTCTGTGACCCTTGGGATGACAATGGATGGTAGATGGTGGACACCCTTCCTCATAGAAAGGTTTCAC